CACCAACCTCGGGAGACTGTGTAGGGCTTATCCGTATGACTTTGACTGCATGCAGAGAAAACACACCTGTGTCTAGAGCTAAGGTCCCAGGGAAAAGAGATATTTTATTTGCTTTTTTTATTATTTTTTGTTTTATCTACATGCACCTACCCCCCCATATGTGCTTTTGAGGGCTACGTTTTTCTGTCCATATATATTATGTGCCACATACAGCACTAGGCACACAGCATAAAACAAGACAGACCAATTTCTGCTGTGCTATCTATGGTTTATATCCTAGGGCTTTTATTTTAGTAGGGGAAAAAGCAATACAGGAGATATACAAAATCCAAGGCAGTTAGTTATATTTGTGAAATTGGCAAAATAGCGCAGATTGAGTACATCGAAGAGAAAAAAGATCAGGTTGGAAAGGCATGTAGAAGGCAGAATGTGCAAAGGGCTTTATAAGGCAAGGTGAGTTTTCAGTTTTGTTCTAGTATTATGAAAAGTTTAACATAGTGCATGAACATCATTTTTCCATTTTTTCATGTTTCTCCAAGAAATAAGATACAGTTCTATCAGGGAATCAGGAAATTTAATACTATTTGGCCTGCTCAATACTAAGACTGCTCAATTTTTCACTTCCAAAAATATACATAAAAATGCCTCTAACATATACAGTATTAGGTACTTATTACCTTTCTAATGGATGTGTTTTATTAAGGGTTAAAATAATTCATGATAAAGAAATGCCACATTCTGAATAACAGGCTATATTAAATTTATAACATAAGGACATTTTTCAAGTTATCACATAAATTTAATTTAATTTAACTTTTGATGCAGGGTTTCCTTATATAGTTTAGGCTGGCCTTGAACTATGTAGCCAGGCTGGCTCTGAATTCTCAGATCCTCAGCCTTAGCCTCCCAAGTGTCCATGTTATTATAAAGGCAAATGTTAGAGTTTATTATGCACAAACAGTAATTATTATTCATTTTAAAATGTGATTACAAAAAAAGGAAAATAAAAAAGACAAGAAAATGAAAACAAAAACGTGATTACCAGTATTTGAAATCTTTTCCAAGCAAGCAGTGCCCGCATTTCCTGGGGCAACTAGCACTTGTTTGACATGACGAGACTGTGCGAGTTTCCAGGCCAGTGCATGTTCCCTTCCTCCACTGCCAATTACAAGTACTCGGGCTGCCATGGCTCTGTCCTCTAAGCAGGCTTTTGTTTTTCTTGGGTACTGGAGATCAAACTCGGGACTGGCAGCGGAACCACCGAACCTCTGAGCTAAATCCCTGGCACAGCAAAGCAGGAATTCTAAAGGAAGATGATACCTGAAGGAAGAAAACGACAGTAGTTATTTCAGAATGCACATATTTCAGAAATCACAATTTCTAAATATGAGTTAAATCATCTAATATTTCCATCCAGCAATTCATCTGCAAAAAACTGGAACTTGTAATTTGAGAAATACAGTCATACTCATAAGGATGGGGTGTTTTAAAGCCAGGGAAGAACAGCCTAAAGAGCTTGGTTAAGCAGTGCATGGTGATTTAGCTCTGCCTATGGTACAGTATCTTATTGAGGTTTCATGTGTTGAAATTTAATCTCTATTGTGAGGTATTAAGAGTGTTAAGCCAATCTTGGTGCACAGCTGTAATCCCAGCAATTGGGAGGTAGAGATGAGAGGATTATCAGTTTCAGGGAAACCTGAGCAATACAGTTGAGTTCAAGGCCAGCCTATGGACTACATAGTGAGACCCTGTCAAAAAAAGCAAAGAGGCTGCATTAGGGTTGGGCTCTGAGAGGCACTTGGGCATTATGGTGGACACCCCATGATTGTATTTTGGTGACTAAGAAGAGGAAGAGACCAGACACACACATAGATGAGTGCTGGGTCTGTCCCTTGCCATCTATGTGAGTTTTGCCAGCAGAATCCAATCACTAGATGGAGCCCCTTGACTCTGCTTGAGAACTGTAAACTAATCTCATTTCATTACATACCCAGTCTATAGCATTTTTATAAGCAAAAAACAGACTGGTGCAGTTCCTTACCTGGGAAACAATCTGTTATAAACAATATCCTTTCTCTGGCTCATTTTTTGATGAATCATGAAAACTTAGCTTAAAAAAATAAATTCTGACGTTTATTTAAGGATATTTTACTGTGTCACCTTGTTTGTCTTCAAACTCCTGGGACTCAAGTGATCTGTCTGCCTCAGCCTTGGAGCAGCTGGGAATGTGCTACCACACCCAGTGTTAGAATGTTAAATTAGACCTACATTTAAAAATACCCATTTTTTTCTTTTGGTACTGGGGATCGAACTCTGGACGAGGCAGGCAACGGAATCACTGAGCTAAATCCCCAGCCCTAAAAATAACCATTTTTAACCCATGAGGTCCCATAGATGTTAAAGTTGTCATACATTTTTTTGTTTTTTCCTTTGGTAGTGGGGATCAAACTCAGGACCTTGAGCTTGTGAGGTAGGCATGGTGCCAGAGAGCTAAATCCCCAGCCATAAATCAAAATATTGAAGACTAAGGTTAGAAAACTATCTGTAAAGGGCCAGACAGTATTTTGATTTGAGGGTAATGTGCTCTGTCCAATTACTATCAACTCTGTCTATGGCGGCATGAAAGGAGTCATTGAGAATACTCTAGGTGGTGAATGTGCCAATATGCACAAAAACTTAACTCACATAAAAGAGGCAGCAGACTAGATGTCATTTACCTATTGGTGTTCTAAGCAAGAGGAAACCATCAAAATTGCGTAACAAAATAAATGCAGTTGTGTTTCAATAAAACTTTATGTACGGACGTGGCAATAGGAATATAATTTTTACATGTGATAAAACCATCTTCCTCAACCATTCTTATTTGGTGGGCTGTATAAAAAAACAGGTGCTAGAAGATACGGCATGGGTCCATATGCTAAAAATCTGGTGGATAAATAAAATAAAAATAAAAGTAAAAATCAGATTCAAAAGCATCGTACTTCAGTTCCAACATCTGTATGACCTTGGCTATGTAAGAGTTAACTGAAATGCCATTTATAAAAATCTATTCCTTTTTTTTTTTTCTTTTCTTTTTTTTGGTACCGGGGATTGAACTCCGGTCCTTGCGCTTGCAAGGCAGGCCACCGAACCGCTGAGCTAAATCGCCGGCCCAAAATCTATTACTTTTATAAAATTGCCAACTAGATGTTTTATAACTTACCTAAATTGCTACTTTAGAGATAGAAATAATACAGCGAAAACAAGCATAAAAAATAAACAGTTATCAAATCATTACATAGGAAAAGGAAAAACAGGATGAGCAGTTGGCTTGAACAAGGTCAAATTTCCATAAACACACACACACATTTAAAAGACTGAAGTTACAGTGATTTACTAACTTGCAAAAGCTATTAACCTATGTAGAAAGCAAGCTGGTACAGAAGAAAACAAATTGGTAGCTTCCTGTGATATCCTAGAATTACATATTTAAAGAAAAAATTAAGCTAGTAATATTAAAAAGAATCCCTAACATATTTTTGAGCACTTACCTTGTACCAGGTGCCATTCTAAATGTTTTTCATGAAATCTTACCTGCTGTGCGTAAGAATTCTATGCGGTATACACTATTGCCATTGCCTTTTTATGGATGAGATGGAAACCCAGTTAAATTCTATGACTTGCTGGATAAGTCATGTAGCCAATGGATTCCAAATGAAGATATTTCGCTATATACTCTAACATCTGAGATGATGGTGATTAAATATTTGAGGAAAGGAAAAAAAAAAACCCTGCTAAATTAGTATAAGCAGCAGCAGTTGTCCAAAGCAATAGATATTTTTAACACACCACGTGTAGTGAACGATCTGAAACAAGTATCTTTAAATCTAAAAAAAATACTGCGTATGTAGCTCAGTAAAAAGCAGCGAGGGGAAGTTTTCCCAAAGATGCCCGGATAGAAGTACTAGGAATCGACCATGGAGGAGTTGGGCCGCCTGGCTCCAGGCACAGCACAGTGCAAGCCCTACCCTGGAGACCCTGGAAGACTTAACTAACCTTCCCCGGCTTCGGTCATTCGAGTGGATACTTTACAACGAGAACACGAGCGTCAAGCAAAGCCACTTCAAATGATCTGGTGGATAAAGCAGGGAATGGGACCGCTCTTACGTCAACCTGGGTTAACGGTGGAAAGAAAGCACATGGCCCGATCCCCGCCCACCGAACATCCACACTGCCAAGCCCGCTTCCGCAGCGCCACTCAGCCCCCGCCG